ATACTTATATATATTTTGTATAAACTGTCACATTATTATTCTAGTATGAGAATGGGTGTTCATGATCATAGCTATCTGTAATGTTGTTATTGTTAAGGAGCATGTTGAGTTCCCTACTGGACTATATGTTCATCCCACGTTGTTGAATCTTTTTCAGGTGTTGAGCAGGGTGTGCTACAAGATTTGGATCTTCTTATTTGTTGGCCACGGGGCCTTAGTTATGTTGGCGGAATGCCATTGTTGTAAAGGGTTACACCCTTCTTCTTGTACTTTTAATGATGTAAGCCCAAGGGCAATTTATTAAGTTAGTTCATGTAATGTTTACTTTGCATACGAATGAGAGTATTGTTAATCATTTCTACGGATTGAATGTATGAGTTTATTTCCGCATGTTATCTCTGAAATTGGATTAAGTTAAAGAATTTGGTAATGACTCCGAGTAATAAAAAGTGGGGCGTGACAAAGGCACTGTCAGACTTGATTTCATTGAGTAGCAGTTCGAGCAGAGGAAGATTCCTTCTAAATGAGGCACAAGCCACCTTACAAATTGGAAATCTTCTTGGCATTAATTGTGAAGGAAAAGAGGCCGAAGTTATTGAGAAGATCATGGAGCTTGAAACCCAAGATTTGGAAAGGAGGAAGCAGCTTGACGCTGCTAAAAAGTTCTGATCCTGCAAGCTTAGGTGGTTTGGGAGCCTTAGTTTGTTTATCAATGAAGTTATTCTCTTGGAATATTAGAGGGTTGGGAAATCCGGAGAAAAGAAGGAAATTAAAGGAGCTTCTTAGAGTAAGAAAAGTAGATATTGCTTTAATTCAGGAGACCAAGAAGGCAGAGATTTCAGAATCATTTGTTAGATCCTTATGGCCTGGGGACCAAATGGAGTTCATGGCTGTTGACGCAGTAGGGAATGCAGGTGGGCTGTTGTGTATTTGGAAACCTGAGGTTTTCTCTTTGTCAGATTGTTGTTGCAGCAAGAATTTCATTTTGCTCTCAGGTATCACTTCTCTAAACTTTAGCTGTATTATTGTCAATGTTTACGCTTCTAATGATTTGCTGAAAAGGAGGAGACTGTGGGAACTATTATGCACTCTTAGAACCACTTTCACTCATCCTTGGTGTATTGGGGGTGATTTCAATGAAGTCAAAAGTATAGGGGAAAGGAAGGGTTGTGTTAGAAGGGATGTGGGGATGAAGGACTTGGGCAATTTTATTGACAAAATTGGAGGGGTAGACTTACCAATGCTGGGCAGACGATACACCTGGGGTAGTTCTCAGGATGGTGATAGGTGGAGCAGAATTGATAGGTTCATTTTAAATCCTGAGTGGCTTGAATCTTTTAGGTTCAAACTTTGGGGTTTGCCTAGATCCTTGTCTGATCACTGTCCTCTGTTGCTAATGGAGGATGAGAGGGTTTGGGGTCCTAAACCCTTTAGATTTATTAACTCTTGGGCTATGCACACCAGCTTTTATCATACAGTGAAGCAAAACTGGGAGCACTTAAATTTGGAGGGCTGGGCAGGTTACATCCTCAAGAAGAAGCTACAAGCTCTTAAACTGTGTCTGAAAAAATGGAATAAGGAGGTATTTGGTAACATCAAGGAAAATCTCCAGGAGAAGGAAGCTGAACTTCACTCATGGGACTTGCTAGCTGAGGTTAGAACTCTCCAAGTTGATGAATCTGCTAGAAGGATGGAATTACTAGGGGAAGTTTGGAAATTGAGAAAGATGGATGAGAGACTATGGTTACAGAAATCTAGGCTTAACTGGTCATTGAAAGGTGATAAGAACACCAGGTTCTTCCACATTACTGCCACAAACAGACATAACAGAAATTCACTTGATTCAATAGAAGTCAATGGGATCTCAGTGGTGCAACCTATTGAAATCAAAACTGCTGTGATGAACCATTTCAAATTACTCTACTCAGAGCAATGGAAGTGTAGGCCTAAACTGGGAGGCCATTTTAACTCCATTAACTTGCCCAATAATGCATCAACCCTGCTCGAAAGTGTCTTCTCTGAAGAGGAAGTTTGGGCTGCTATTAAGGACTGTGATGGAAACAAAGCCCCAGGTCCGGATGGCTTTAATCTGTCCTGTTTCCAAAAATGCTGGAATTTTATGAAACATGACATTCTAAACTTTATGAAAGAATTTCATGAGAATAGTACTTTGGCCAGGGGTCTTAATTGCTCATTTAGAGAGAGAAAGGTTTCCTAAAGGAAATTGAATAAAAAGAATAAAAATGGAAGTGGAAGTGGAATAAAAATAAAAATGGAAGTTGCATAAAATTAAAAATGGAAGTTCATTCGAGAAACCACTACACCTTAACGATCTATTTCGAAATTAAATAAAAAAGGAAATTCAATAGAAAAGGGAATTGAATAAAAATCGAAGTTGCAAAAAATTAAAAATGAAAGTTCTTTCAGGAAACCACTATACCTTAACGATCTATTTGGAAATTAAATAAAAAAAGCAAATTGAATGGACATGGAAATTGAATAAAAATAGAACTTGAATAAAAATAGAAGTGGAAACTGCATAAAATTAAACACGGAAATTCATTCAAGAAACCACTACACCTTAACAACCTATTAGGAAATTAAATAAAAAAGGAAATTGAATAGAAAAGGAAATTGAATAAAAATGGAAGTTGAATAAACAAACGAATAGAAGTTGCATAGAATTAAAAATGGAAGTTCATTCAGGAAACCACTAAACCTTAACGATCTATTTGGAAATTATATAAAAAAGGAAATTGAATGGATATGAAAATTGAATAAAAAATAGAAGTTGAATAAAAATGGAAATGGAAATGGAACTGCATAAAATTAAACATCGAAGTTCATTCAAGCAACCACTATACCTTAATGATCTATTTGGAAATTAATTAAAAAAGGAAATTGAATAGAAAAGGAAATTGAATAAAAATGGAAGTCGAATAAAATAAAAATGGAAGTTGCATAAAATTAAAAATGGAAGTTCATTCAAGAAACCACTACACCTTAACGATCTATTTGGAAATTAAATAAAAACGAAAATGGAATGGAGATCGAAATTGAATAAAAATAGAAGTTGAATAAAAATAGAAACGGAAACTGCATAAAATTAAACATGGAAGTACATTCAAGAAACCACTATACCTTAACGATCTATTTGGAAATTAAATAAAAAAGGAAATTGAATAAAAATCGAAGTGGAATTAAAATAAAAATGAAAGTTGCATAAAATTAAAAATGGATGTTCATTTAAGAAACCACTACACCTTAACGATCTATTTGGATATGAAACAAAATAGGAAATTCAATAGAAAATGGAATTGAATAAAAATGGAAGTTGAATAAAAATAAAAATGGAAGTTGCATAAAATTAAAAATGAAAGTTCATTCAACAAACCACTATACCTTAACGATTTATTTCAAAATTAAATATAAAAGGAAATTGAATGAAGATGAAAATTGAATAGAAATAGAAACAGAAACTGCATAAAATTAAACTTGGAAGTTCATTCATGAAACCACTATAACTTAACGATCTGTTTGGAAATTAAATAAAATAGGAAATTGAATAGAAAGGAAATTGAATAAAAATGGAAGTTGAATAAAAATACAAAAGGAAGTTGCATAAAATTAAAAATGGAAGTTCATTCAAAAAACCACTATACCTTAACGATCTATTTGGAAATTAAATACAAAAAGGAAATTGAATGGAGATTGAAATTGAATAAAAATAGAAGTTGAATAAAAATAGAAGTGGAAACTGCTTTAAATTAAACATGGAAATTCATTCAAGAAACCCCTATACCTTAACGATCTATTGGGAAATTAAATTAAAAAGGAAGTTGAATGGAGATAGAAATTTAATAAAAATAGAAGTTGAATAAGAATAGAAATGGAAACTGCATAAAATTAAACATAGAAGTTCATTCATGAAACCACTATACCTTAACGATCTATTTGGAAATTAAACACAAAAGGAAATTGAATAGAAAAGGAAATTGAATAAAAATGGCAGTTGAATAAAA